CTTATTCTTGGCCAAATAAGGTTCCGCGGATACCCAGCTATAGTCAGGTGATTAACGCTCATGTCAAGAGACAGGACATGTCTCAATGAAGATCCTTCATCCTCTGGCAATTGTTTTTCCATCTACTACGCTTTATTCAATGAATTACTCCCATTATATAATCCAAGAAGTTTTTCCCCCTTTCACATTATGCTTAGCCAATGCTCTTTCACTCCCACTGGAAAGTTCAGCTGGAAAAGTACAGTGACAAAATATTTCCACATTGAGCTTTTAAAAAGGCTGGGTTAGACACTAGCATCATTGTTGTAATTTCAGAAGTGTGCTCTCAGTTATTTTGTTAGATGTCTATGGAATAGCTTTCTTTTTATTTATTCACATATCTTTAATCTTCAGCCCAATCAGGATATGCAGAGATAAGCACAATGAATACATATGCAAACAAGAAGACCCAGTAAGATTAATTAACAGCACATCAGAGCGAGTGTCAGTATAAAACAGTTTTAAGATTAATACATTCATGAAGGACAAGGGGGTCGACCACTAATTACGGCTATATATTACCTCTGACACTGGAGGCAGTATGCATTTGTATGCTACTTGCTGATTGTGTCCAAGCCATGAGTAAGAAAGAAGTATATGAGCAAGAGGAGCTCATGTCATTTGCGTCCTACTCATAGTTTCCCACAGCAGCTGGTTGGCCACTATGTGAACTGAAACTATGCGAATGGAAAATTAGATTCAGCATAGCTTTTCTGGAGTTGTTATTTTCCTAAATACAAATCGTCTAGGAAAATAAAATGATATAAATAAAAGATACCAGCTTGGCACCAGGTAAGCCCTCCTGGGGAAAAGATTGCTTAATCACATCAGCACAACTGAAAAGGCTGATCCCGTTCTCTTCATGCTTGGCGGTAGTGGTGAGAACATGGATCTCTGAGGATGATACTTGGGTAGGTTCCAAGCTGTTTGGGGCTTCAGGTTAAAATAACATTTTTAATTGCTTATGTTTTATATCTTGGTTACCTTTTTTATTTTGTAGTGTTTGGAATGGCATATTACTATAAGCAATAAACACGTTGTTGTTGTTGTTGTGGGTAGTAAGTTATGACTGGGGCAGCCTGCCATTACATAGAATAAGGCTGCTGCTTCAGGCAGGTGATTCTGGGTATGATGAAAGGGCAGCTAATAATAATTTACTTAATTGTTGTATTTTTACCACTAGGAAGTTGGAAAAGCATGTGTGGAATTCTCTGTTTCAGCTGTCAAACCAGCTTTCACAAACCCTGTTTTGACAGCTATTCTATTTATTTATTTATTTATTTTATTTGTTTAAAAGCCCATTAGCATCATGCTCTCTGAATGGCCATTCCAGTATAAAATCATCAAATAGCATTACTAAAATAATGCAATTAAAATATCACAATAAATAAGCAGAATAAAAACATAATTAAATAATTAAATAAAAATTAAAACATACGTTAATATAGTTTGAAACCTGTGCATTGATGCAAATAGCCTAGGTGGCGCCAGAGGTGTGCCAGAAAAGGAAAGCTTTTGCCAGGTGCCTGAAACTCAGTAAGATACATGGGTGTCTGGTAAATCTCTGGCAGTAGAATGTTCCACATTTGGGATGCCACCACAGAAAAGCCCTCCTTCTTACAGTCTCCCCATTAACCTCCTTGGGGAGAGGAACCCGTAGGAGAGCCCCAGTCAAAGATCTTAAACAACAGACAGGAATATAGTGAGCAAGGTGCTGCCTAAGATACTGTGGGCCCAAGCAGGTTAGGGTTTTATATGTTGTAGTTGAAACCCTGAATTTGGCCTGGACAGGAACAGGCCACCAGTGCAGCCAACAGAGGACAGGTGTGCTATGTTCCTGAGAACTTTGTTAGCGGCTGTGCTATCCTGTTCCGGATCATCTGAGGAGTCCAGACCATCTTCAAGGGAAGTCCCCTGTATCGTGCATTACAGTAGCCCAGTCTGGAGGTTACCAGTGCATGAATGACCATGGCAAGACTACCCTCATCCAAATAGGAGTATAGTTGGTAAATCAGCTAAAACTGCTAAGAAGTGCTCCTGGCAACTGCATCCACCTGACCAGCCAGGGAGACCTTGGGGTCCAGGAGCACCCCCAGACAATGAACCTTGTCCATTAGGGAGAGTGCAATCCCACCCAGGATAGGTTTAGAATATCTCCGTTGAAAATAGGGTGGAGTGGAGATATGGACATTCTTTTCAGGGTGCTTCAGGGACACCTTTGGAATGCTGCCAATGACTGCACTCCAAAAAACCTGTAATTTTCACAAAGAATTGCAAAACAAAAAAGTCTTTAAAAATGTCCATACTACACTTGTGCCAGTATGGACATTATAAGTCATTCCACGCAGGTTACAGGTAAGATTACTTTCCCCTTTGGCTACATCTGACAGCTGTCAAAAGACAACCTGCCTACTGTAACCAAACGTCAAGGTGATCTTAGCTTGTGAGAATGGAATGACAGCCCAGGGTGGGTACCTTCTGGACATTGCCCACCAAAGCCTCCTATTTCCACACTCATGCAACTGCGGACATCTCCAGCTGTACATGTGCAAGTAAGCATTTATCAAAAATGTATTTTAAAAACATTTGTGAACATTAGGGAGACAAACAATTAAAAAATGTTTAGCAACCAGAGGCAACCTTTCAAAGGTGCCACTGGGACACCTTGAAGGGACTGTCCATAGCTGTAAAAACAGGGATCACAAACCTGGCTTGACAGGTGGATTTCACAATCACCAGGGGAAAAAATAAGTTTACAGTGAGAATAAGCTGTGGGTGAGCTTGAAATGGCTTTCAAAGATAGCAGGGAGGGAAGAGACAACTTGGTCCTCTCTCCATATTCTATGAGATACCCATGGGCTGGCAAACCCTGGTGGGCCCAGTTGTCTGTCAGATGCACTGTGGTTTGCTGACTAGACAATGAACCCACCTTGGCTTATTGCTAGGTGAGTTGTGTGCACACATCCACTGACTCTGACTAATAAGGATAGAAATTGGAGACTCCTCATGAACGCCACTACTGTGTTGCATGGTTAAGATTGAAACAGTAGCCCATTTGTTCAGATACAGCGGAATGGTATAGCAGAATGGCCAGCAGAAAATCATGACCATCTCCAAACATGGCCAGTGTAGGGAAGTGATTCATTTCTGGTCACTGAGGTAATCCATTAGGAATTGTCTGGATAGTTCTGTGAATGGCCACAGATGTTAGAGCTAAGAGCCTTCTGAACCATGGGCAGGAAGTCAAGGGGGTACAGTAAGATTAGTAGACATTGTCCATTTTATGTGAAAGTAAGTGGTTCGACTTTGTTTACCAGAGTAATTTATCCTATAAATCAGTGTATGTGCTTGAGATGGGCTTCCTTTATTACCCTGTTGTGTCCAAAGGGAACCAAAATGACATGTTTATAGCAGATATTAAAGGAAAAGCTTCTGCTAACTTTTAATGTGGTTCTCCCTGAATTATGGTTCACAGAGACGTGGTGTAATCATATTTGTTGTTTTGCTGTTCATAATTCATTTAGGAGACATAAAAATTCTTTTTGTTATAATTCTCCTTGCCTGTCAGTTTTGTTGACATATGAAGCTATTTTTCTCAGCAAAGCAAACTATTCAAACCCAGTAAAGAATGCATGATTTAAGATAGAGAATGAAACAATGTGAGTTCTGAAATTGGCCAAGCTTTCTATAGTCTGAAGTGCTCTGAAGGGCACATCAGCTACAGGATAACAAGGTGTAGTGTGTCTAGAACAATTACAGGGTGTGAGTCCCGGGAATTTGCATGGGGATAGCTGGAAAGAATGTGGCATTGTGCAACGTGCCCTTGCCAGACGACCTCCTTGCAGAAAGGAAGGGTCAGAACTTAGGGACCAATCCCATTTCATGGCACTTTAAATCCACAGGCAGGATTTGTTTACATATGCATTTTGTCTGCAGTGTATCTGGGTATGAGAAAACTCCTTTGGCAGTGATGTCTATATATGTTAGCTTACACTGACTATGGAAAGTGTTACTATACATGGCAATGTCAAATTCCCATAGAGGAAGCCACTGAAAAAGTTAATCAGAAAACTTTCCTTTTGCAGCTCTTCCATAAGCCTTGGTTGCTAATCACATATCTGACCATTCACAATAAGTATAATAGTCAGCAGCCATTTCCCATGAACAGGGATACAGAATTATTTTCCCACCAGAGGCCAGATTGTCTGCCCCCGCCATCTGTGTAGACCAGCTGTGTAAGATGGAGGCCGTGCATGTGACTCCGAACTACAGATGCGCCCATTCTTTTCCTTGGGCTGCTGAAATGGACAGAAAGAATCTCAGTGCCTAGTCCCACTGATGTGCAGTTGCCAACAGGCCCAGTACAGTTTGGCCTGATGGTGGAATAGAATTAAGCTGAAGTAATGCATTTCTCTGGTGATTCAGATGTGTCTGGTCGGAAGAATTTTCATGGTTGTTCTCCAGAGAGTGCCTCCTTGTTTTCTTTTTCACTGCTGTGAATCAAGAATAACTTTACCAAGAGCTTTATAATAAAATTGAGATCAGGATTTGGCTCACTACTGCTTTTTTCAAGCTATTCTATGGCCAAGAAAAAAAAAATCAGAAGCACTGTCCTTTTCTCTGTTGTCTCATCGAATCAGTTTGTTTTCTAAATAATTTGTGTTGTATTTGATAAGGAGAAAATGTGTCAGCTAAATTTCATTAACCACAATTTGAAATACGTTTATGTGAATTTCTTGTTGATCACATTGGACTTACAGGTCTATACATTTGTGGTGAAGAATAGGGTCAGAAAATCAGTGCAGCATAAAATAATTGGTGCATTGTCTGATTCTGTCCCATGTGGCTTATTTACTGATACAAAATTCTATCGAACATCTTTTCTGCTTTACTGAGGATAGGTAACAATAAACTATATATGTGGAATAGCAAACATGAAACTTTGGATTTCTCATTTGCAGGGCAGAAAGCAAGGTTTGGTCCCCTAACATTTTAGAAGATGGAAAAGCACAAGCTTACCGAGTCAGTGTAGAACCAGAACCACAGGTACGTGACCCTTCCACTCTATACCGTTTCTGCTATTTCATATGAAAACATCACCGCCTTCCCAATATACATCTTCAGTGGATACTGCCCATTAGTGCCATAGTGGTGCCACTCAGTCCATTGCAGAAGTCAGATCCACTACTTGCACCACAGAAAATACAGAAATTCTAGTGGCCTGGCCTTTTACAGAAACTGGCATGTCTGCTTGATTCTGATTGCTCTTGGAAGCACCAGCTTCCCACCACACTATCAGCGGGCACCACTGGCCCACAAGGAGAGGATATTGCTCAGTGAAAAACAGGCTGTTTGTAACATTTCTGCAGTATAGAAAATGTTTTGTCATTTGTATTTTAGATATCTTTACAACAGCATGGGTGCTCGGCATGGGTCTGTGGGTGTCATGACACCCATGTACAAGTCTAATGCTGCCTGTCAAAGGGTCTCCAGTGTGGTGCCCATATGCATCTCCCTTTTACTTTATTAGTTTCCATTTTTAAATGTATGTATATGGATTGATACGACATTTGTACTCTTTAATAAGCTTATAGATGAGCTTCTACAAAACTGGACCAACTATCCAAATAAGTATCATTTATATGTCACCCATTCATACATCAAAAGTGTTATAAGGTACCCAGTCTTTTGAATTAAAGGTGTTTCTTCGTCATGGCCTCTGTGATCACACATATGGGATGCTGTGCCTGTGCAGTGCCTTTGGCCAGAATATTACAAGCTAACAGTTTATTTTGGCGGGAAAGCTCCACTCCCCCTCCCCCACAGCCTATAAAGAGCAGAGCGTCCGCCATTTTGTTCAGTCTTTGCGATCGCCATTCGCTGTGCCTCGTGCCACTTTCGACTATCACTTTGATCGTTACTCGTAGCCTATTTTTCCTTCCTTTTACTCCCAGTTTTATCTCCCTGATAGTTCTTGTTAGCTCTAGTTATTTCTACAGTTCTTCTTAGCTCTAGATATTCTGCAGTTCTACCGTTCTACCATTCTATTTTCTTCTTCTAAAAAAAACCAAAAAAACCAAAAATATATTCTTACCCTCTGCACTGTCTCCCTTTTTCTTCTTCTTCTTGCGATTGCGCAGCGATCGGCCTTCCGCAAATGTGCAGAATGCGGGTCGAAGATGTCACCATCTGACCTGCACGACCTATGCCTCCTCTGCTTGGGGGAGGGGCATAGGACCGACAAGTGCTCCCACTGCCTGGCCTCCTCCAAGCAGGCCAGGAAAAATTGGGAGAACCACCTCCGGAGGCTCCTGTGGGATCGGGCTCTTATGCAGTCTGACCCACTGGTCGCCGCTCCGAAGCCTGGCCCTGCTACGGTGGTCCCGCCCTCCCGCCTGTCGGACGAGGGTGCCTCTACTTTGAGGGCCCCACCAGCTTCTCCCAAAAAGAAAAGTGAGAAGCTCAAGCACGCCGATGCCAACAAATCGGCCAAAAAGGCCAGGAAAGAGAAGCCTTCTAAACTGGCCCGAAAGTCGAAGGATCCGGACCAACCTCGACACCGTGTCTCGGGTTCGATGGCAGTGTCGGTACCGGCGCCAACCACCGTACCGACCCCACCCAAGCCGGCACTCCAGGCAGCCATGAGGGTCACCCCTCAAGGGTCTCCCTGTCGTGTGGCTGACCTCCTGGCCGAACCGCTTCCATCTCTCCAGCGGAGGTCGATCTCTGACGGAGAAATTCAGGACTCTCCCCCCAGGGCTAGATCACCAACGCCTGTGCCCATGGCCACACTGGAGGCGGATGTGGTCGAATCCCCGCCCAGGGCCCGCCAGGGAGCAGCGATCTGAGCAGCGATCCGAGCGATTCGAGGACTGGCGTCGCTCCTACTACCCATCTTGGGGTGAGCCATACTCCACTGGGTTCTATCCCACGCCAAGGGATCGGTCCCCACCACGCTCTCGTGATCACCCGCTGCCGCTGGATCCAAGATGCACGTCCCCGGTGCCCCGGGATGAAAGCAGCCGGTCCGCTTCGCCAGTGGAGTCTTCTTCTTCGGCCCCTCCTTACTACGGCGTGGACTCCGATGACTCAGACGTCGATTCTATCTCTCCCGATGTCGCGGTGACCTCCCAGGGCCCCGCATCACCGGACGAGTCGCACATTTCTTTTGCGGAGCTGATGTCCAGGCTCGTCCAATCCCTGGACATCGACGCCGTCCAGTGGCCAGGACCGTCTACGGATAAAATCTATGACATCATCCGCGGGGAGTAGTCCACCTCCATCGTCCTGCCCTTGATCACCACCCTACGGCAGGCGATGACCCAGCCCTGGGACTTGCCCTCTCACCCTCACCCAACATCGCGGAGGTACAAAGCCATGTACCAGGTTCGGGAGGAGGACGTACCATTTCTTCTCCGACACCCCAAGCCGAACTCTGTCGTGGTGGAGTCCTCCCAGGGAAGAGAGGCAAGGGGTCACACCGCGTCGGCAGATAAGGAGGGCCGCAAGATCGACTCCCTGGCCAGGAGGGTCTACGCAGCTTCAGGCTTGGGGCTGCGTATCTCAAACTACAAGGCGACGTTGGCGAGATACCAGTATTTTATAATGCAACGCCTCCACAACATCGTCTCGGCCCTCCCAGACCAACAAGGCAAATTGGCCAAAGTCTTAATTAAGTTAGTGATGCACATCGCGGTGCAACAGTTGTCCACAGCCAGGCACCATGTGGACACTAACTTGAGGGCATTGGTCGGTGCCGTTTCTCTTCGCAGGCATGCGTGGCTGAGGAGCGCCAACTTCCCCGAAGAGACCAAGCAGCGCATCGAGGAAATGCCCTTCGACGGGTCCGGGCTTTTCCATTCACAAACGGACCATAAACTTTAAAAACTTCATGAGTCCCACATGACGGCCCGACAAATGGAGCTCCAGTCGCTTCCGAGGCGTAAGTGGCCATGGAACCATCCGCCCTACAGACAGCCTTATCATCCCAGGCAACAGCCTCAGCACAGGCAACAGCAACAGCAACAGCAACAGCAGCAGCGCCGTCGACAACAGCCCCAGCAACGCTACTAGCAGGGCCATCGCCGATATGATGACAGGAGGCAGCGTTGACGGGACTGGCGAACCATTCCTCTACCCTATCCTATACCCACCCCCCTCTCATCTGGGGACCGGCTGCGAAGCCAACTCCCCATTTGGGAGTCCATCACATCTGATGGATGGGTATTATCTATCATACAGCACGGCTGTAGGATAGAATTCGACACCATTCCTCCATCGAGTCCGATTCGGTTTACATCTTGCTCACCAGTACTGCTCGAAGAAATACAACAACTTCTTCATAAAGGAGCGATTCGACAAGTAACTCAATATGACGGACTTCACGGATTCTATTCTAGATACTTTACAGTTCCCAAACAGGACGGTGGCCTACGTCCGATTTTAGACTTACGTGGTCTGAATCGATTCATTGTGACGAGGAAGTTTCGAATGACCACCCTCCAAAATATTTTGCTGCTGCTTAAGAAAGAGGATTGGTTCGCCTTGTTGGACTTGAAGGACGCCTATTTTCATATTGCAATCCATCCCAAATATAGACGTTTCCTTCGCTTTGCTGTTGCCTCCAATTTCTACGAATTCGTGGTTCTACCTTTCGGTTTGGCTACTGCTCCGAGAGTGTTTACTAAATGCATGGCCCCTGTCTGTGCTTATCTACGCCTCCAAGGCATACAAGTTTATCCTTACCTTGATGACTGGCTCCTAGTCTCAAGGTCCAGGGAAGCGCTCCTCACCTCTATCCATATTACCTGCGCCTTATTGGACGACCTGGGCCTTTGCATTAATACTGAGAAATCTTCTCTCCTTCCGGTACAGAAGCTTACGTTCATCAGAGCCCACTTGGATTCGACGCTGGAAAAGGCGTTCCTCCCTCGGGACAGACAACTGACTCTCGCTCGCCATGTTCATCGAATGCGACGAGACAGATCGGTTCCGGCGAAGTCCATCCAGAGGCTTCTAGGACATATGGCTTCCGCCGTTGCAGTGGTGCCACACGCCAGACTGCAACTCCGTCCTTTGCAGCTATTTTTCAACAAAGTGTTCCACCCACAGAGGGATCCACCGTCGAAACTCCTTCGAGTCCCATTCTTGGTCCTCCATTCGCTAATATGGTGGTCGATCCCGACCAGTCTGACTGTTGGGGTCCCCTTCAGGTCCCGAGGCCCATCGATTACAGTCGGTACCGACGCGTCTCTTCTAGGTTAGGGAGCGATATGCTCCGGCCTGTATACTCAAGGCACGTGGACTCGTCAAGAATCCATGAAGCATATCAACTTCGTGGAATTTTTGGCCATGTTCAAAGCCCTACAGTCTTTCGAAGATGTTCTTCAACATCAGGTTGTTCAGATAACATCGGACAACATAGCCACCGTTTTTTATCTGAACAAGCAAGGCGGGATGAAGCTCCAACCCTGGCCAGACTTTCTATGCAGATCTTACCAACTGGCCAATATTGACTTGCCCACTACCCCTCTAGGCCATTCGACTAGGGCTGTGGCTGCCTCATCGGCCTTCGCATCGGGAATACCGATGGACGATGTATGCAGAGCTGCTACTTGGGCGAATCCTTGCACTTTCGCCAAACATTACCGCGTAGACGTCCGTGCTCGACAAGATTGTTCCTTCGGCAGAGCCGTTCTTTCATCTGTTCTTCGTTGATGACACCTTCCCTCCTCCATTATGGTAAGCTTGTTAATCTACCCATATGTGTGATGCACAGAGGCCACAACGAAAAAAAGCAGGTTGCTTACCTGTAACTGATGTTCTTCGAGTGGCCATCTGTGCAGTCACACAACCCACCTGCCGGCCCCGCTCGGTGTCAGTGAGTGGACCTCTGTCGTTTTTGAATGTTATCATTGTTTCTTGTTACCGATATTCATTGTTCTCTTGGTACCAATACTGTTCATGGTAGAACTCATTTACAAATCACTTTTTTTCCACATGAGGATGCCCATTCAGTCATCAAAGACTGAACAAAATGGCGGACG